AACAGATAGAGCAAGCTACTTCGTCGGGAAGGTATTTGCCGACGCTTGCAAAGCGCTGGGCATCAAGCACAGAAACAGCACACCACGCACAGGTGAACGTCACGGAGCGATGTAACTGAAACATCAAATCCATGTTGGCAGAATTTGCCGAAAAGCACCGCGACTGGGACGCATACATTTCCGAGATTGGGTTCGCTCTCCGTTCCACTGTCAATCGTTCGACAGGCTTCACCGCCGCCTTTCTCACACTCGGAAGAGAATTGCCGGGGTGAGCGACGCACAGTCGAAACAGACTAAACATGCGCGCACGCCACAAACCCGGATGACGAAAGCTTTCTCGGAGGCCCGTTGCTATCTCGGGGTGGCGCAAGCTAAACAAAAGGCTCAGTACGACCGCTCTCGCCGAGATATCCGCTACAAAGTAGGCGATCTCGTGCTCAGACGAAACCATGTTCTGAGCGATGCCAACTTTAAAGGCTTTTCTGCAATACTGGCACCAAAGTGTTTGGGCTGGTACCCAGTGCACAAAGTATTTTCGCCACTCGTGTACCAGCTGACTGAGAAGGACTCGAGAAAATTCAGCAGGCCGGTGCATGTCTGCGATCTCAAACCCTACAATGAAGGGGAAGAGAAGGACGAACAAATGCAGCCCCCACGGCAATATGCACGCAAAACGCGAGACAACGCCGACGATGAAGAAGACGCGTCTCGCTACAATATACGAACTGGGAAAAACTGTTATCCGAAGTTTTCGTAGAGGGAGCCCCAGTAAGTGGCGAAATGTCACATGCAAGGGAACTGCAAATCACAAAGCATCAGCTTAGCTGCCTTCGCGAACGCGTCAAACACCATTGTTTGCTGGCAAGCAGTGACCTATATAGGAGGTCACTTCAGCGTTCGCTCCCGGATCAACTATAGGGGAATCCCCCAAACTACGGCATCCGATGGAAAGGGTAGGCGAAACGGCCACTGGTCAGCAACACGTCACCGCAAGCAGCGTTGCCAGATGGTTAAATTCGGCACCAGATTTAAAAAATCTGGTAAAATGGGGGGGCTACTGGTGTTGGTGTACCGGAATGGCTACACCAGACAATATCTAGCAAAAACTGGGGGAAAATCTAGAGAAATGACCTTGTCACTTGCATTAATCAAATTTACACCGTTCTGTTAGCCTTCCATCCGCATCCCATAGGTGGTGCCACTTTCTTGTCCACATCAGCACTCGATCGCTCTAGGAAGCAGCCATCGACATTGAGACTTGTTGCTTGTGGCACTTGTGGTGCAGCTGCCGGCCTGGCGCATCTTGGTCTTTGTTGTTGGACGCCGTCGGAGTCGCAGTTACTTTTGAGAGCGCAGCTCTTAGGCACCCGTTTCCGGCTTGAGCGGCGTCGCTGTCGGCGTAACCGCGCGGTGCATTATAGAAAATTTTCCCCGCTAAATCTAGCGAAAAAGTTTCCTCCACTAAATTTAGCGGAAACAATGTCCGCGCTAAATTTAGCGGGGAAAATTCCCCGCTGAATTTAGCAGAAAAATTCCGCTAAATTTAGCGGACACTTTTCCCGCTAAACTTAATGGGAAAATGTTTCCGGTAAATTCAGCGTAGAATTGTTTCCGATAAATCTAGCGGGAATTTTTTCCGCTAAATTTAGCGGAGAATTTTTTCGCCAAATTTAGCGGAGAGGGGGAGGGGCATAGCCTCCTCTCTGTACCTTGTCCTCCTCCTCCTCAAGAGCTGCGCTCTAATTCGGCGTTACAGGGGATTGTAAACGTCTAATTTTTTTCTCTATGGTTGTTTCCCAATCCCCGACTTCCTTCGGCGGATATTCGCGACGCATGGTTGTGTGCGCTGTGCTGTCATTGGTGCGAGCCACGCCACAACGCGAGCATCACTGACGTTTGGTACGTAGCTGAGTTACGTTCCTTATGGAGTACGAACATATGCATCCCAGAGCACGTGGCAATTAGAAGCGCATCACAGGCTGCATGTACACTGTTGTCGCTATGGTAGGGCTTTTTTACGCACATTGTATGTCATTTCATACGCGGTGTTATTATTGTTTTCACATTTCTTTCAATATTTTCTAGGCTAGAGAGATTGCCTAATGAACTGTCAAAGCAAGCGCAGAAAAGAAAACAGCGGAAGCGGTTCTGACAGCGGTGGTGATGCTCATAAGTGTGCTAGAAGACTAAGAAAGTCGTACGACGGTTGCAGGAAATATTTGGATTTGTGGTAGAAAGGATTCCCATGGCTGAATAGTGTGGTGTCAGGAAACACAAGGCTTCCGTTCTGCAAGCTCTGCCGTAAATCACTAAAGCCCCGCCGCGTAACCCTGACAATACATGCAGAGGGAGCACAGCATAAAGAGATAGTGAAGTCGACATCAATGTCTCAGGCGCAAAACTTTTCTTTAAAAAAAATGAAAAAAAAACAACAAATCGAAGTGTGCCCGACAAATTGAAGCGCACTGAGTTGCAGCTAGCTGTGGCAACATGCTGCCACTGCTCAACCACAGCTGTCGATCACCTCGGTGTCGCCATTAAAATGAATGGCACAGGCAACGCCCTCGAGAATCTCCAACTTCATCGCACGAAGTGCACGGCCTTGTTCAATTCAGTGGTTTCACCTAGCCTCAAAGATGAACTCGTTTCTGGCATGAAAGGAAAAAATGTTTTCGCTCATGGTTGACGAGAACACTGATGTGGCTGCCGAAAAGCTGCTTGCAGTGTGCGCACGCTATTTCAGTGAGAAATCAGGCGAAATTAAAACTGCTTTCTTGGGACTGTTTACAGTAGTACAAGCTACTAGGGAACGCCTTTTCCTCGCTCTCAGGGAACGACTTTGAGAGCACAGTCTAGCGTTTGCCGATTGCATTGGCATTGCCTGTGATGGCGCAGCTGTTATGGTCATTAATTTCTCCAGAGCATTCGACAAAGTACCACACCAACGTTTTTTTAACAAAGCTTAACGATATTAATATTCATCCCTCTGTCCTTAAGCGGATTTCTAAATTTCTAATTAGCCGTAAGCAATATTCCTCCGTTAACAACGTAAAATTTCCCACCTCTACCGTAACGTCACGTGTCCCCCAGGGAACCGTACTTGGCTCCCTTCTGTTCCTCATCTATAGTAATGATCTCCACCTTAATATAGGATCTTTTGTGCACCTGTTCGCTGACGATTGTGTCATTTACCGACCCATTCTTTTATCCCATGATCATCATGCTCTCCATGAAGACCTTGAGTCTGTAATCCATTGGTGTGAAAAATGGCATATGACATTAAACTTTAATAAATGTAGATCCCTATCATTTTACCGCAGCTCGCGTTCCACACCGTTTTTGAATTACCTCAGTAACACTCAAGTAATATCATGCTCAGCATATAAATACCTGGGTGTTCATCTCACCTCTGACCTATCGTGGACTGCTCACATAACTTCTGTTATTTCTGATACCAACCATTCTCTCGGATATTTGCGCCATAACCTCAAACTTGCTACACCCTCCGTAAAACGACTAGCGTATACTACTCTTATAAGATCAAAGTTAGAATACGCCTCATTTATATGGTACCCCCATGGCAGTCCCACCTTGCAAATAATCTAGAATCCGTCCAAAACAGAGCCCTTCATTTTATTTATAACAACTACTTACCATATACCAGCATATCAGGATTACGCCAATCAGCTAACCTTCATTCACTTTCCCTTCGCTGCTGAGTATCACGCCTTTTTCTCCTCTATCGAATTTTTTATCACAATGTCTATCTCAAAGAATCCCTGCTATCACCTCCCCATCGTATTTTCCCGCGTCTAGATAACCTACGTAAATTACGTCCAATTCGATCATCAACTGTTTTTCACCAGACTTCCATACTACCATTGGCCGTCGAGGATTGGAATTCACGGGCTACGGGCCGTTCGTCGAAAGGCAATTCGTAACAGGGCAACTCGTAGCAGGGCAATTCGTTACGTAGGGCAGTTCGTCATAGGGCTATTCGTCGCTAGGGCAACTTGTCAAAAACCGGCGTGTGTGTGTGTGCGTGCGTGGGAAAAGGGGGGGGGGGGGGGTCGAGTCATAGAAGTTTGTGCAGAAGATAAGGCTTCGATGTTTCTTTTTATTTTTCTCCAAACGTCAAGCAGACGTCTGGAGACTTCTTTAATGCCTATTATCTTTACCACCTTTCTTCCTTATCGTTCGGTCCCTGTCATCTTTACCGCTTAAGTTCAGAACAAACTTTTCAAGGCTTACCGCTTACCGGGGGTTTGGGGACGTGGAACATGTATACGTAAATGGTAAAGTTCAGAAGCATTCCAAGAAAAGTTCGACCACCACCTTGTTGTCCGCGTACTTTTGGAGTTTCAGAAAAGTCGGAGGCTTTTCTTCTCTAGTCGTATCCTGTTTGGAGAGTTCACAATCCTTTGCCCGGTTTCTATGACCTACAAGCAGAAGTTTGGAGACTTCTTTGGTGCCTATTATATTTACCACCTTTCTTCCTCCTGTTCGGTCCCTGTCATCTTTAGCGCTTTTCCCTGGCGTTTCATTCTGGTGATGATGCGACTGTCTAGACCCACTGCTGACTTAAGTGCCTTTGTTATTTCGATTTCGCTTATCTTTTTCGGAAAGTTCGGAACTAACTTTTCAGGGCTTACAAGATAAAGTTTTGAAGACCTCTTTGTCAGCCACATCCTTTTAGGTCCAAGCGCATGCTCGTACATCTGCCGAATGCTATAAAATATTTTGTCTAAGCGTGTATCTTCGCAGTCGCCATGGAAGTCATCGGGACTGCAAGAGGTGGAGAGATGCTGGTTTGCGAGGGATTTTTATATACTGCTAACCGAAGGACTGAGCAAACCATCTACTGGGTATGTCGAAGAAGAGAGACCTGCAAAGCAAAGATCACGACTGATGTCTCTAAGCTTCGCGTTGTTAAGGTCACAAATGACCACAATCATGCTCCGGACCCAACTGAGGTTAACTGTCTGAAAATTCGTTCAGAAATGAAGGAGAGCGCAGGTGAGAATACATGAGTATTTTTTAGTGTGTTTTGTCGTGGGGATAAATTGTATTCGAGAGTAATCTTCTACTTCCCTTTTAGTTGGAGGACGGACGCCAGTGCAGCAGATTCTTCTGGACGCGGCTGCCAAGATCACGGACAGCACTGCATCACAGCTGCCATCTACGTCAACGCTTCGACGTACAGTTAGAAGACAGAGGCAACGTGCAACCTTTGTTTATGATATTCCTCCCAGCAGAGAAGATATCCATCTCCCACCTGAATTCAAGGTAAGTTTACTAAAAATACTAGAGAAAATGGTTCATAATCATGGAGTTTTATTATGCAGGTGAATTTCAAGCAGGAAGCGTTCCTACTACACGACAGTGGCGAGGGTGACGTCAACCGCATCATCTTGTTTGCTACGAAGCGGAACTTGGAGTGCTTAGGGAGTGCAGCTGCCTGGTTATGTGATGGGACGTTTAAGGTAGTGCCCTCACTATTCTACCAGTTGTACACACTTCATGCCCTGAAGAACGGGATCGTCGTGCCCATGGTGTACGGTCTACTGCCCAACAAAACCGAGAAAACATATAGGAGGTACACCACTAATAATTGTAACCTTGTTAGCTATTGTAACGTGAAGTGATTGGTTGTGCAAAATCGTGTTCATTGCGTGTTACCTTACCAGGTTCTTCTCTGTCGTCATCGACAACGTCGGGCCCTGCGCTGTTCGTGTGCTGTACACGGACTTCGAGATTGCTGCTATTAACGCTGCTCGTGATGTCATTTCGGACATCCGGATTCAAGGGTGTTTTTTTCACCTGGCCCAGTCGGTTCATCGTAAGCTGTGCGCGCTGGGGTTTCAAGCACGTTACGGCACGGACGAGGCATTTGCAGTCAAGGTTTGTTATTGTGCATAGATAAATAATGTTCGGTGTCTCTTATGATAGAGCCTCGCTCTTAGGTGGTGTACCCTGTGTAATAACTGTTTTAATTCCAGATGAAAATGCTCCCAGCCTTGGCGTTTCTTCCTGTTGAGGCTATCCCAGAGGCGTTTCAAGACTTGTTGGAAGTATTCCCACAGGAGGCGATCGGACTGGCTGACTACTTTGAGGACGTTTACGTCGGTCGACCACGTCGAAACGGCGTCAGCTCGGCTCAATTTCCTCCGAAACTCTGGTCAGTGTACGAGGCGGCACTTGATGGAATGCCGCGGACAAACAACAGTGTGGAGGCGTGGCACTATGGGCTACAGGTAATTGCTCATAATTTTATTTCTACTTAATTTGTCTCGCATACGCAATTTACAGTTTTTATGTCGTATTTCTTATGCTAATATTCTCGTTTTTCAGAGCAACGTGAGATGCACTTCACCGAACATCTGGGTGTTCCTCGACTCCTTGAAAAAGGAGCAGGCCCTAAGCGAAATGAAGCTCAGTCAAGCGGCAAGCGGGTTCACTGCCACAAGGGTGTCGCGGAAGCAGGAGGCATTCAACAAGCGCCTCCAAAGAATTCTCGGACGCTACGATGGAACAGACAACATGGATATCCTCGAGGCTTGCGCTAGAAGTATAACATTGTAAGCGGAGGGGTATTTGCAGAGTTACAGATGCGAATAAAACTCCTTCGGTGAACTGACATCTGTGTGGTTGTCCTCTAAAAATTAGTTGGGCACAGTTATAACTCACTGTGGTGCACCCACAGAAGTAGTTAGTATCCATTTCGAAAGTAGAGTATTTAGGCCAACTTTTAAACATATACTGCAAAGGAAAGTACCAAACAAGCGAGGAGCTCCGTTCGTGAATATTCATTTCGAAGCACTATACTTGATAAACTGGGAAAATTAAACACATAAGAAGCTTTTTCAATAGGGTGACGAATTGTCATCATGACGAATTGCCCTATGACGAAGTGCCCTCTGACGAATTGCCCTATGCGACGAATTGCCCTGCTACGAGTTGCCCTGCTACGAATTGTCTTTCGACGAACGGTCCATTACCCTTTCTTTATCTAACCTACCTATAGCTATAGCTTACAATGTTATAATTGTGTTTACTGTTCTCTTTTTTTTTTTTGTTCAAGTGCCACCCCGTTCTATAATGCCCCACGGGCCCTCAAGGAAAGTAAATGATGATGATGATGATGATGAACAGTGTATTTTTGCCGAATCTTTAGAAAAGTACAGCAAGAGTTCGGCTCCGCCGAAGCCCAAGATGCGGCAAAAGTTCGGCCCATCACTAGTAAAAAAAATGCGACCCAGAGGGGGGGGGGGGGGGGGGTTGGTTTGCCCCCCCCTCAAAAAAAAGTTGATACGCCGCTGGTCCCGCACCTACGAAGAGGATCTCCAGCTAGGACGTTGCTTCGCGCCGTTCGGGGGCTGCTGTCTCTTGGCTACGGCAGTTCAGTGGCGTCCATGGACCACGGCTGCGCGCGACTCGTCAGGCAGCCCAGCGACCCCAGCTGGCCGCGGGCCAAACCAGCGACCCGTCGTCTTCGTGCGCCGTCGGGATCGACATCCGGCCAGGGACTGCCCGCTCATCATACACGGGACATGCGCGGCGGTCGGACAGTTCGCCGACCAGGGATTAGCTATTCCCGTTCTTCTCGTGACAAGTCCAAAGGGCCCCGCGATCCACTTCCACCGAATACACTACGCCATAGTGAGCGTGCGACTGCGTCGTCGGGAACGTCAACAAAAACGTCGAATTTTTTGTTAATCTATGCATGTGGGTTCCGGCACCGCAACGTTGTTTTGTTTTGTTATCGAGAGTCGGTTGGTTAATTTTTATTTTTCTGTTCCCCGCATCCCTATCTAGGCCTAGCTAAAGCAGGCCGTGGGGCGTCGCCATGTGGGGGCGCGTCCCGGAAACGAGGGGAAGCCGTATTCCCTTGCGGACGGGTTTCCCTCGCCCTTTTCGGGTGATTTGCCGAAGGCACACCCCTCGGGATCATGACTTGGACGCGTCCGCCCCTCCGGGAAGCCAACCTACAGGGTGATTCAAGGAGCGGCCAGGCTCTTTAAATCGACCGCAAAATTCGGTTTCTTAACCTCTCGCGCTACGTCGTTGTGCAGCGTTGCCCACAGATGGTGCTTTTTGTGTGTGTGTGTGTGAAATGTGCAAAGAGCGAACTTACCTGAGGAAAAAGTAAAGAAAGAAAAAAGGCTTAGCTCCTATGGAAACGCAGCGACGCCACCGGTCTTCAAACAACACGGCGCCGTTTCGCATGGGAGACAAGAGATGGCGCAACGAACGAGCATTCGGCGCTGAGAGCCAGCGTCTTTAGCAGACGACCTTTTCGACTCAAAAGCGGCGCGCGTTCCGCAGGTGGCGACAGTCGCAGAAATAAAAACAGGCGCGGCAACAACAAGGAACTGCAGTTGCTTGTCTGCTAAAGACGCCGGCTCTCGGCGTCGTATGCTCGTTCGTTGGCGACAGTTGGCGTCGCGACCGCTTGCGCCATCTCTTGTATCCCGTGTGAAACGGCGCCGTGTTGTTTGAAGACCGGTGGCGTCGCTGCGTTTCCATGGGAGCTAAGCGTTTTTCTTTCTTTACCTTTTCCTCAGGCAAGTTCGCTCCTTGCAAATTTTACAAAAAAAAAAAAAAAGCACCACTTGTGGGCAACGCTGCACAAAGTCGAAGCGCGGTGTGTTAAGAAACCGAATTTTGCGGGCAATTTAAAGAACCTGGCCTCTCCTTTAATCACACTGTACATCCGACCCACCCCGGTCGCGTCCATTTCCTCAGGCGGCCCTAATCCAACGGCGGAGACTCTCGCTGGGGAAGGCTCTGCTCGACGGAGCCTTCCTTTCTTTATCTGATCCTTAAGCTCCGTGATCCCGCGGACTCCGACCGGCGATCTCGTCAAAAGAGACAGCGCCGTTATCTCTGACATTCTTCGCCCTCCGGCAAGCGTGTGGCGTTATCATCAAATAAATACGTCCTAATCCGGACCGAAGGAACTTCCTGTGTTTCTAAGTGGTACCCCCTAAGGGGAAACCCACAAGTTAGAATGTTTCCTTCTTTCTGTTGTAAGCAATCATGCGATAACTCACACCAAATTTCGGAGTAATAAAATAATATGAACAATCAAACATAACGGCCTGAGCGGTATATGTGTACAAACTTTAGCTTTCGATGCACCCTTAACTTTCGATGCGCTCAACGCTAGTGTCACATGTAGCGCTGTTTCAACCTTAATCAGCATACCATGTGCGTGCTACAACATCAAACTCTACCTTTTTTATTTTTGCACACTACTACTTGCGCGCATAAATCACCAAATTAAGACTGGTACATCGCTTAAACTCTGTGCAGAAGCTATCCGCAGACCCAGAATCTTTTCCTGAACAGTCATTGAATTTATCACTGAGCTCATATTAAAATTCTTATTATTTGTTACTACAAGTGAATTTTTAACTTCGGCATTTTTTTTTTTTTTTTATTATGACTCCCACACCAGTCCTACTTTGGGTTTACCAAACTTACCGCCGAATTCAGAAACCTCACTCAAACTACACTCAAACTGAAGGGTCCCTCCACTTCCTCGAGAAAGACGCGAGGGCCGGCGCTGGCCAATCGCGACGGCGGATCCGTCCTCGAAATTGGCCAGCGCCGGCCCTCGCGCCTTCCTCGAGGAAGTGGAGGGGCCCTTCAGTTTGAGTGTAGTTTGAGTGAGGTTTCTGAATTCGGCGGTCAATATCTAATTCTGAGTGTAATTTTTTGTGTCTTAAAGTCTCGTGGTTTTGGTCAAAATAAACACCCAGATACCTAAATAAGACACACCTGACGGCCCAAACAATAGTTAATTTCTTTTGATTTTTGACGTATTGAAATCTTCAAGCTAGAATCTTGGGAACCCAAGTCTATCATCTCATCACGTCTTCCTAGACAAACACATGCACGACAAAAGGGCCGGCCCGTTATATAAATCTGATCACATTGAAATATGTGTAATAGGCCTCCGAACCCCCTGCGGAGTGCTAACGGCGCACAGGCAATTTTATATTTTTCAACGCGTCGGCTGCTTTGTTGTACATGTGTATCACCATTTGGCTGAGGACGATTTTCGCGTTTTGTTCTGACCACATTTGCTGGAGACGTGAGCTCGGAGCGTAGGCAACTGACCCCCTTGCACGAGAACTGGCGCAGCAGTGCGCGCTTAAAAAAAAACTCGCACACAAAAAAAAAAAAAAAAAAAAAAAAAAAAAAAAACAAGCGAAGGACTAGGGATGTCAAAATCAAAATATATATAAAAAAAAAAAAAATACCCCACTGTATCGAAGCGCTACCACACACGATTTCTCGCTTTGATGCGCAGCTCTGGAAGGCAATCCTACCGCCATCTGTTGGTTCAGAATCACACTGACCAAGGGTGGGGTAAAGAGAAACTGAATCGGTTCCGTATTTGGAGAAAAACACCTAAATCGTCTAATCGTCTTCATTTGGCCTTCAAGATCGCAAATATCGAGATTATTTTTCAATTTGATGCACGGGGATGACAGAAATTATTTTTTAAAGTATCGCTCCTTCCCGGGGTTTGACGTCATACTATGAGTTTTCGGAATCCCTGCTCTCGCGCATCTTCAGCGCTTGTCAAAGCTATGCCCGAACACCCTTGCTACTTTTCAAAAAGGTCGGAAATAGACGTTACGACTGGCGTCAGTAACATACCTCGCGAGCTTACAGTTGCACGCGCTGCCCAGACGAGCGTCACGCGCTTAGCGGCCCAAAGATCCTTACATGACGTCACCAATGGTCGGAGGTTTTTCGCGTTTTCTCGTGTTTAGTTACATCTTAGGGGAAACTAAACGTGATAGTCAGATTCACGGGATAAAAATACGCCTAAATTCACCTCAAACTTTTTTTTTTTTTTTCAAGAAGTGTGTCAGCTTCTTTTTTTTTTAAGTTTGTCGTAACTTATGAAACGAGCGTCGAACTGGTTGAACGGTTCATCGAAAAGCCCCGTCTTGGTCAGGTGAAGGCTCTTACTACTTCTTCGCAAACTAGTAGCTATTCAATCAAACGTCGCCCAGATACAATGTTGCAATGAGACAACTAAATATGCGGGACAACGCATGGCTAAAGACATCCTGGCATCCAGAAAATATTTAGTTGCTCCGGGCGTTTATTTTCGGCGGGTGACCCGTGGGATAGAGAAAGCACTGGGCACAGTCACAGCGACCCCGACACAACTGAAGGTTGGAGAGAACGCAACATTACTAAATAACAGTGTTGGGTAAGTTCTTAAAAAAAGTAATTCGTTGCAGTTACAGTTACTTTTAGAAAAAAAGTAGTGAACCCGTTACAGCTACCGATACAAAAGAGTAACTCGTTACAGTTAGAGTTACTTTTAAAAAGTAACGACGTTACTCTTCAGTTAATTTTCTATAACACGAAAAATTTAGGAAAAACTAGAAAACGCCTCTTACCAAGGTTTATTGAATAAAAATAAAAAGTACGCTTTTCTACCTTTTAATGTAACTTAGCAGCAGTTGCTTCTCGAAATTAGTGTCTGAAAGCTAATTCCCTCGTTTGATGGCGAACACGTCCCTGCCCTTGCTGAACAGAGAGCGCGTAACCAGAGCACCAAGAAAACACCGCGCAAACAGCGGTAAATTTTGCCTCGACTTTTGACACCATGCCGGAGTAGTGGCGCCAATCAAAATGCAAAATATGCGCAGTGCTCTCCGCATGTATTGTTGTTTCACGGTTGATTCGCCCGATTTAAAAGCGTTTGCGCAGAAAAAAGAACAACCGCAACATAGCCAGTGCTTCAAGATACTAAGATATAAGTGTTCAGTCAGAAAGTACTAGCGCGTGCGTAAAGATAACTAGATTTTTATTTCCATCACATCTACACGTGGCTATTTTCGGGTAGTGACTCGCGAGAAAGAAAGCACTCGCAAGTTTGTGCAAGGCCAGCTTGACACTCGAAATGTCGGAACAGACAATTTGGATAGTGGAAGGAGTAGCTTTATTGTACTCGTTCCATGATAAATTATTCATAAAAAACTGGAACGTAATCAAAATATAACGTCGATATTTTCATTGTTACCTGAGAAAAAATAATAGAACAACAGTTACAAGTTATATTTTTGAAAAAAAAGTAACTCGTTACAGTTACAAGTTACCAAAAAGTAACGAAATTACAGTAACGGGTTACTAATAACGGCTTACTATCCAAGACTGCTAAATAAGCCCCCCCCCCCCCCTCCTTTCCGTCAGCCCCTGAAAATACAGCTGATCAAGTCACGACCGGCTGTCATCGGGCTAACCATGTTTCGTCTGTCTGGAACATTTTTTATTCAATTAATGAAGATATTAACCGCTCTAAAATGCAGCCGGTTACTAATGCTAATGAAATAAGCGCGGACCCAGCGTTCGCTTTAGCGCATCTGCGCGCCTTTTCCCAACCAGTCGATCACTCGAGGAAAATCGGGGCTATGAAGGACTCCACAACAAAGCGCCTATAGGTTGAACTTTGAGCCTGCAGATCAGGGATCTGTTGGCCCACAGGTTACCTCGGGGCAACCTACCAAAAAATCTCTGTGTTAAAGCAGGAATAAAATAATTGAGCAGTCCTGTGTTATCCACAGTAGAGTCAGATAAAGCCCCACTATCCTGGAAAAAGTGGCGCCATTCATTGTTGTGGAAATGCTCGAGACACGTCCCGCGCGCCACTTATGGGAAGAACATGGCGTCTGAAATCTAGCTCAGTGCTGCGCTGTGCCGCCACGATCTTCCCAAGGGCTGCACGTTGCACGCGCCTCGTGCATCGACGCACTTTGCGCTACTTTTGAAACATGAAGGGGCTTTACAGTCAGAGCGCTAGCTGCCACACGTCACGGCGATGTTGTTGGGCACCGGCGTTGCGTTCACGCACAGTTGGATCACCGTGAGTTGGATGCAGGATCAAAAGCGGTTGGAACAATACCCTTTATAGTTAGAACAAAAATAAACATCTGACCCTTTTGTTCCAAACGCTTTTGTTTCTTTTTTTGGAGCGCGTGAAAGTGCGTTGCTTGGCACGAGCTGTTGGTGTTGACAGTGCTACAACGCCGTTTTTGTTATCGTTTTTTTTTTTTTCAGAGATTGCGTGCGATGGGCATAAGATACTACAAAAACCTTAAGTATAAAGCGGCCTGTTAACGCTGTTGCGTAACTCAAGTATTACTGAGAAAGAAAACAGAAGGCTGCGGCGTCAGTGGTAACGCTTTCGCTTCGCACGCAGCGGGCGCTCTTTTTAAGGATTTGACAACATCGACGACGGACGCCCCCTAACGCCAACTACAACAACACTGAGAAGAGCCCATCACAGCTTTCTCTGTAAAAGGTACGAGGACGAGGCCGCCCCAAAGTGATCATTTGGCGCTCTAAAAGCGAGTCCTTCGGGGCGCCTTCGGCTAAGTGCAATTTTCACCACTTCATACATTGGTAATATCTTGCGTAATCTATATTTGTAGCCTTGAACCTTCGGAGGCGAACTTGGTTCTAACTTTGTCGAACTTTTGTTCAGATCGTGCGTCGTTTGCCGAAATTTCGAATCCAACCGTGTGGAAAGGTCGATAATCGTCGAATTTCTTGACGCGATAAATTCAAAAGGTTAAAAATGTCGAATTTCAAAGCGCGAAAGAGTCGGAAGTTTGAAAACAATCAAATTTCTCAGCGCCAAAATTTCGGAAGTTTGATCATCATCTTTCGCAAAGTTCGACATTCGAAGATTGCGAAAATTTTGAACCTCGGGTTCGCAAAAACTTTGCGGCATCTCTAATATAAATCAACGCCTCCTGTACTTAGTACAAAAGGCATTGTCGAAACTGAGGGTGGGGGGGGGGGGGGGGCTTGCAGTCGTGATATCTGGCTCTCCCAACAGTTTTATTCAGTGATGGCGGTGGTGAAACACATCAGACTAAAAACGACGGACGCGAAACTCAAGTGTACAGTTGTCTAAAAATAAAGTTCCAGAGGGGGACCAGAATAAATAAATAAAGAAGAGCAAGAAAGAAAGAAACGCAAAAAGATAAAAATAGAAAAGAAACGAAAAAGGAAAGAAGGAAAGAAGGAACGAAAGAGAAAAAGCGCTTTAAATACACAGAGCACATTTCGAACCAGTGAACACGGTCTTCCTCAGAGCCGAGTGAAGGATAAAGAAGATCACACGCACGGCCTGGCCGCCATGACGACCGATCCATATACAGCGGGGCACCGAGACCTTGGACGTCGTGGGCAGTGACAATGTCGAGTCCGGGCGGCCGCCCTAAGAACGTGCATGGCGCTCAGTGTCCGAAGAACATCCTGTACGCCCTCGTCGTCAGCCGCCACGCTCAACGAACTCCGGTCACCGACTGCACGGCCCTGCTTAAGTCCAACCCGGAACCATGCGGCCAGCTGACGTCAAAGGGCCACGAACAGGCCTTCCGCTTCGGACAGTTCCTGCGAGCCCGCTACGCGACTCTTCTGTCAGCAGACAAGCCCGGCCAAGTGCTCGCTACCCATAACTACCTGGACCGCTGCCGTGACAGCATCGAAGAGATCATCCGGGGGCTAGGTGTGCAAGCCAAGCCAGACTTGGACCCGACAAGGTACGACGTAATCTTCCAGGAAAGTTTACGTGACAACTTCGACGCCCTCGTACGGCATCCGGCTAAAGGCGGCTTCGAGACCATGGGCGACATGCTCGAGTTCATCGCGAAAAAGGCTGGCGCGCCAACCAAAGACAGATCCGAGCGTTTCTTAGCTATGGACAGCTTAATCACCAACACGCTCAACGGGAACCCGATGCCAAGCTGGGCTGTGCCACACTGGGACGACTTCCTGTGGGCGGAGCGCAAGATGTTTGGTATGGTGCTTTCGGGCCACGAGCTTAACATGGCTAGAACGGTGCTCACGCGCATCCTGGACACCTTCTCGCTAAAGTTTGAGGCCGGCGTCGACCGACCCGACAAGCTACACGTCTTCTCACTCTCGGACACCAGCCTGTTTTCGGTGTTGAAGCTGTTCAACCAGTCGTACGACGGCCGGCCCTGCTTTTGTGCCAGCGTGTTCTTCGAGGTGTTGTGCGAAGGTAGAGGGAAACCCGTGGTGCAGGTTCTCTTCGCGACCGAGGAGAACCCCCACTTGGTTATGTTGGACAAGCTAGAGAATCCGGGGCCCCTGCCGGAGTTCGTAAGCTTCGTCCGCTCAGTTCTAGGGTCCAACCCGATATGACCTTGCACAACGACGGGCCACGGAACCTTCTTGTTCGGGTTGAGGTATTCTCATACTTTGTGCTGCACACTGTAGGCTGCAGCCAAGGGTACACCGGCGCTACCACGACGCCGTTTGCGGCCTAGAAAAACGATAAATACTGCGATAGTTCTACACTTCTCTAGAATGGATGTGCATACTGAGAGTTTGTGACACTTTATAACCAATAGCTGATTGCTTAGGATTTGAGGGAATGCTTTATCTTCAAGTTGTTTAGAGTTGGAGCACTTCCTAAGTATATGCATCATCTGGCCGGAGTCTGCGGTATAATCTTTAATAGAAGTGGCGTGTTGCATAGAATGAACTGACTCCTACGATTCATTGGGATCCTAAATAAAGCAGTATCACCAATGATCTCAACGTATTTAACAGTAAAGGGAAAGAACGTACAGTTTATTTTCGTATTTACGCTTTTTCAGGGGTCGATATTACACTCCGTCGTCTCTTTCGGCAATTTTTTGTTGTATTTTTAAACAAAAATTGTCTCGCACCCGCCGGTATGCCTATAAAGATGCACAACACAATTCACGAATCACGAATGCAGGACTAAGCTTTTTGCGTAGTTTCCTGATGCCCTTATCAGATCGAACTAAAGTGCCTAATAAAAACAAATCTTGAAATACTAAAATAGAACGAAAAAACAATTTCGTTAAAATGTGGACTCAAAGAACTCCAAACATAGTGTGCCCTATATGTAGTCTACTAAATTGAAACTTACTGGATCACTCTTCTTACTGCGGACATAATAAATCTCGCTACTATGATAAGTTTTTATTGCTATTAGAAATACTTTTATTATAGGAAAATATTCCTGTATTCTTTGATTCTTTGTCATACAGACACCTTTATACACGACCGTGTTCGACAGGATTCTCAGTATGAAAATCCTGTCCCAGACATCGCCATTGCCTGTTGCCATTGCCTTCCCTACTAGCAGGTGGGAAGGCAATAGCGCAACTTTCCCAGATCCAATGACTTTAGAAATAGCGTCTCAGTTGAGACTGGGGGAAAGAAAACACTGCCAAAGCCAGCGCAAGGGCTGAGCGGAACTCAAGACGCGTCTCAAGACACTCGCGCACCCCACCCTTTGCAGCGTGCTTTCTTTCAATCAGTGCCAGCTGGAGACGCTGTTTTAGCAAGCCGGTCCAGGATCACAACTTGTGAAGTTTCCTCGCGCTTTCCTTCCGTTTTTGGGAGTCCCCGCAATCAGTGTTGCGAAATAAAATCGAGCGAGATGCTCAGTGCTGCCCTGTCTTGTTCTTCTATGACCGGGCTAGAAAGCGGTATGCTCTATGGCCCTTCACTCTTGCTAGGAGCAATGGGACTTCTTTAGCCGCGTAGGGGTGGCACCGTATACCATGCCCTAAAGCCCCCCTATCCTGGTAAAAGTGGAGCCATTGATTCTTTTGGAAATGCTCGAGACACGTGCCGCCCGCCACTTCTGGGAAGAACGACGTCCGAAATCTAGCTCAGTGCTGCGCGGTGCCGCCATGATCTTTCCAAGGTGCGTCGATGCACGTGCCTCGTGCATCGACGCACCTTGCGCTACTTTTGAAGCCTGAAGGGGCTTTGCAATGCCCAACACAGCCTGAGCCATCCTTAACAACTGTTGCCCGACCACTGCGATTGAAAATCTGTGCCATTGTGCTTGCTGGAAATAACTGGTTAGCCGATGGAAATACGTTTCGGCTTACGATCATTAAATGCTTGTCAATACAACCTCGTTTCTTGAGGAGACGAAGAGAAAGAGGGGTTCCGCCTAAATTCCTGCAGGCAGACGGCCTCAAAACTTGTGGGTCTGATTACTTTAGAAACTTCCCCAACTCAACTCCAGAGCAAAGAGGACAACATGGTGAGGAGGAAGTGCCTCTTAGAAGGAATCAAAGCGCTGTAGGTGCGGTAGGGTTACAGTGACCCTTTCGAGCTCCCGTCGCAGGGAGCAACTATACTCCCCGTGCAAAGGCCGTAAGAGATCGCGCCTGTTCACTCTAGCCCGGTCATTGTCCTTCCAACTGCTGAACGAGGCAAGCGCATGTTAAATAGCATATGCGGCTTCAAACCTATACACGTCAAGAGAATAACACGGAGTGAAAACTTGGGCTGCAAGACCCAAGAATTATCGACTCAAACCACGCCGCCGCCCACACTCTTAGGAAAAAGGGTACCAAAAGCATGGTTGGGCAGAAATACTCAAAAATGTATTTGGAAATACAAATACAGCGATACCTTAAAATAGTAGCTAAAATACTGATACTGAGATATATCTGTAAAAGTGTATCGCGATACGTATCGGAAATACATTTTAAATAGAGGCAAAAAGTATTTGGAAATACAAATACAGCGATACCTTAAAATAGTAGCTAAAATACTGATACTGAGATATATCTGTAAAAGTGTATCGCAATACGTATCGGAAATACATTTTAAATAGAGGCAAAAAGTATTTGGAAATACAAATACAGGAATACATTTTAGAGAGGGCAGAAATACAAGTACAGAACTACTGATACTGCAATACATTTTTGAAATTATTTTGAGACGCCAAATGAGATGAACCTTGAAGTTGGAGGTTGAAGTTTTTTATCTGAAATTATTTTACCGTAGGCTTGGCACTTTGCCTTGAAGGTAGTGATCTCGGACGACGAGGAGTCTTCAATGGGCTTGAAAAAACGTTCCATCAAGGACTGACTGCGGTCCCTTCCCTGACATCCTGTCTGTCTGATGAGGGGTGCGAAAAGACTTCGATTTCTAAATAAATTATATGTAATCCAAAATCACCACTCCCCTGTTCAATAAGGACGCTCCGGTCAGCATTTATCACATGACGTCACGGTGGAATAAACTGGCATTCTTCATCTGTAGGTGTGGAAAGGAACATGAAACTTTAACACGCTGCTCTATGAAAGGACAATACGTACTTTCGTCGTAGGTTACCTCGTTGAAGATCGAGCAGGCAGTGTCATTTGGATTTTTCGAGAATAGTGGACTACCTGAAGCATCCTGGAACACCTGTCTTATCTTTTCTTACGGTTAGAAAACGATATGGTGGCATCCCTGTTGTAAAAGTCTTTCCTGTCGACCCCCTGCCACCGACGCATGGATTGCACTCCACAAGTTCTGACTTGCATACTCCAAATAGAGACCTCGCGGACTGCGACCTGATATTGCCGGCACAAGTGCGAGCTCTCCGAGAAACAGCGAGCTCGAGACGAGTCGCAGGTGTACGAAGTCTGGGTCGGCACACTGAGGCCACGTCTGACTTCCTTCCTGGGTTTCGGATCACCAGAGAAGCGGGTTACTTTCAGGTCGGCTGATGACGTAGCCTTGAGCAGTGCAATATTACGAGCGCAGCCGCAGACGCATTCGAATATGTGTTGAACTTCACTGCGTGAGTCATCCTACTGTTTCAAGTCAACCACCGCCCGGCTCTTGCTGCAACGGACTGTGACTCAGCTTTGCCGGCCGGGTGTACTGCGTGCGCTAAGGCAAGAGAGACAGTTGGCAGCGGGCATTGGATGTCAGCAAATAATAACTCAAGAAATTCCTACCTAAGGACCTGCGGCAGAAGATGCTCTGACTCCACTCCTGGCACGCCACCTAGTTCGAGTCCCCGACTACACAAAACTTCTCAGAAGGGAAAAGAGGACGCATAGGAAAATAGTTTGGAGAATCGGAAGGAACCTTGGTCAGTATGGTAACAATTCCCCAGCACCTCCTTGGCCCTGGTGCCCTCAAAAAAAATAAAAAAAATAAATGCGTTGGATTTTTTTTTGAGGGGGGGGGGAGCTTATTTCTCAAGAAATGTAACGAAATACATTTCACCCTGATTGTATTGCAATACAAAGGAGCATTCAAAATGTATTTCGATACAGGAATACAGATACTGGTGAAAAAAATGTATCGCGATACAGAAATACAGATACGAAATGTATTTCTGAAATACTATCGCGATACTGCCCAACCCTGACCAAAAGGAGGTAACAGACCGCCAGTGCCACCCTCCTCCCTGCCAGGGGAGAAGCGCTCCGCTTGTTACCTCCTCAGACGCAGCAGACACTAACGCCCTCTATTAAAAATGCGTTGCTACAAGGTGAAGGTCGCCGCGAGGGAGCAGCAACGACGTAAATATTACCTTCTAGTGGGTGCCCACCTGTTTAGGCGCTGCGATGGGCTGTGCAAAGGCGCAAACAAGTTCGCTAATTGGTCTCCTCGTATGACACGTCATTCTTCGCGCATGCGTGGGCGAGCGCCTGCCCGGTGCCAAGCGCGTTTCCCGCAGACGATCCTTTCCCGTCATGACGGTCCTTGCTCTCGAACGTTCGACGGAGGCGTCTCAGCGTAGGAACGTTCTTTATTGTTTTGTTCGGTTCAGTCTCTTCTTACGAAGTCACCGAGAGTGCTGCATTGACTTCAGTCGAAGGTCCGAGTCGTGTGTACCGTATGCAGATAGGGAAATGTTCTGCCCGGGGCAACACTCGGCTTCGGCTATGACTGCCCCGGGAAGCCGACCCCCGTCTTTCTTGGACAAAGGCGTGGCGGACGTGTTTTCACGTTTAAAGGCGTCGAGCGTTCGATGAAATTATTGTGTGGCGCGAACGCAGACACGGTTTAGACCGTTCCGGCGAGAAAATCATATGTCGTCGAACGAAAATTCGATGTTGTGTATAAAAATGATGGTGGAAGTTTGAAGTCGTCGCCTTCTTGCACCAACAGCGTCAAGGTTGACAGTCTGATATTGGGATTAATTTTTCCTTCTTTGACGTAAATAGGAGCACTGTCGGATTGTCAACTTCGACGTTGTTTATTGAGAATGAAGCGACTTCAAGCACCCACCATTCTTTTCACAGACATCAGCAAACTAATCTAACGCATCGTTCGACGCCATCTTCCTTTACATGCCGCCGCCATGTTTCGAAACCACGAAAAGTCCAATCCTTGAACTACATATGATAGCAACGACG